AATCTACCTTCCCTCCCTTCTATCATCTCCTTTGCAATCCTGTCCTCTTTATTCCTACCTTGAGCTTCATCAATCCACATTAGATCATATGCTCCCTTATCGTTTTCCTCCACACTCCCTCTATCCTGCTGTTCCCTCTGTGTCCTCCTCTCTGCTCCTCCTATAGCCTTTCCCCCTATCATCCTTAACCCTTTTTCCCCTTGTCTCCCCTCTCCTTCCCATCATTCCTTTTCTCTGTCTCATTCTCCTCTAGCTCACTCTTTCCTTTCCTACTCATTAGATCAGTATCTATTGTCAACTCTCCCTCAGAAGTTCATTTTAGTTCCTTATCCTTGTGGAATTCTTCCATATAGGTTAACAGCAGCTTCTACTCACCTCTTCTTGCCTTCCTAGTGTCCTGAGTTTGGAATTTCTCTTCTTCAACCCTCTCAGTCCCACCCCCATTCCTATTCCTCTTGCTAGGATTTTGAGGATAACTAGCTCTCATCCAGTTACCATATTGAGGTTCCATTCTTTTATTCATTCCTCTTTTACTACAGTTCCTTTCACTATGACCTACTAATCCACAACCAAAACAGAAGTCTAGACATTTTTCATATTTAAACTCAATCCACCTCTTAATACCAGTACTATTAACCATAATCCCTCTAGGCAATGGCATAGTCAGATCAATTTCAGCCAATATTTTTAGATGTTTACCTTCATTCCCTCCACTCTGCGGAATAATCACCTTACTCACTTTGGGAAAAATACTGCCAATTTTTCTCTCCACCTCCTTCGTAACCCAGTGCAGGGGTATATTCTAGATCTGCACACAAATTAATGTTTTGCTCAATGCTTCTTCATCCTTCTCTACTCCAGTTTTCCACTGCAGCAGAATTAACGATTGACCATCATAAATCCATGACCTCCTACTCATCACTATTTCAATATCCTTTTTTCTTCTAAAAAATGAAGTGGAACAAGTTACGACCAATCTCCATTACCCTCAGATTCCTCATCTGTGACCACATGCTGCTTGCGAAGCTCTTGACTCCTCCAATATTTGCCTGCTTCTCCCCCCAAACTTTACCAATCAAGCTCTGTTTGCATTCCAGCACACATCTAGCCACTTCCTTCTCGTCCAAATATACACTGCCGCTTTCCTCTTCTGAGAGTTTGAACCTTCATAATATTAACAACATAAGTCTCACAAAACAAAGGCATGCTTTTGAACTTCCTTGACGTAGAACAAGCTTAGTAAACAAGGGATTTGATCACGTTAGAGTAGATTTGGACACTTTGACAACAGGGAAGTTATATAAGCTACAGTTTCGAAGAGAAGTTCCAGCATCCCATACTATTATTCTATTTACAGTTGGAAGGTCACAAAGTATCGATGATTTTATATAAATCTTTAGTGCTTGTAACTAATCATATTTCAGTAGATGCTCATTGAAGCGAGCCAGGGAGTGTTTGGATACCAAAATTATCTCAAATAATATTTCGCTTGCATCACAAACACATTTCTCAATCTACTTTTTTATATTCCCAACTACTTTTTATCTCACATACATCACATCACAAAAAGTGCTACAGTAATTATTTCAAATAATATTTCAAATAATACACTATCCAAACAAATATTATTTGAGTTAGATTTACGAAGTAACAGCAATGTAAATTTGAAAACATTCATCAACTGATATTCCTGCAGTTGGCTTGGTTGGACCTACAGGTAGCAGTGATTGCGAGTCTCGCAAGAATGAATCTTGCAAATCTTGATTTACGATTGGAAATCTTTAGTACCATGATGTGATGCACGTGGCCTCGTGTTAATGGTTGTCACAGCCGCTGGATAATGTGGCAATAATTGCCGAAAGGCTTGGAAGAGTGTGCCCCTACCCTGCCCTACCCTTCACCTGAAATTATTTTACATGTAAAAGTCGGATACCAGCTGCTGATTGGCTGTTCTACGGTTCTACCTCTCTTCCAGGCAATTCACAACAAAACCCCGTGGTACTATTTTTCTTTGCTTTCTGGAGACTGGAGCCTGGAGTCTGGAGTGATGATGATCAGACTTGCATCTTTCGACATAAAGAAATTCTATAGCTCGTGAAGTAAACGGATCAATCACCGTGAAACACCCTATCTACGACTTAGTGAAACTAACATTGATGCTGTTTTGAACATCTTCTATAAATCAGTAGTCTTGAACAGCTTGCTTCTATTACATCGGGTGGTGCGCAAGGGAATTTGGTTGTTTATGCTGTTTTCATTTTAAATCAAGAGCAGGGCCATTACGAGATCAACGTGTTTAGATCTCTGGTAACCAAATTGCATGATTGGTTAATTTATTACTACTACTATCAATCCAGAGAATTGACACGTCACGTAGAATCCTTTAGGACGAAGCTTGAACAGTTGCGAATTTTTGGCACATCCATGATCTGCACGTCCCGGGTTGCTCTGCAACTGGGCCACGCCATGTTACCTGACCACTTGTCTTAACTCTTAATCAAACCAGCGATATGATTCATGTCGCCATATACGAGTACCAGAACGACAACTTCGTTGACAATTTTGTTTGGGTGAAGGCATTCCAAATGTTACTGCACCGACAGTAGCAGATGGCACTTCATCTTCTCGGAGTCTTTTAATGTCTCAAAGTCAAGGTTTTTAAAGTATCTGACTTGAAAACTTTCATCCGACGTTGATGAGCAGGATTCGCTGACGGGAACAAATTAATACCTTCGCTTGCTTGCTTCGTCTTCGTCGGTTAAACCTCAGGGGATGAACGGTGCAAAAGAAGATTGAACTTTTACCCAGAGAAGACGAGGCATAAGCAGCATACGACTTTGTCAAATCTGTGTACGAATGTGGTGGTCTTTTTAACTTCTGATCAGAAGCCTCAACGTCTGCAACGGAACAAGAACGTAAAATGTAAGTCCATTTAGTTTCCAATCATCGGATTGGGGGTATGATAATTTAGCATCAGTGATTAGTGGTAAAGCAGCAGGAAGGCCAGCCAAGATACCCATCCAATAATTAGGCACGGCATCCCACGTGCCTGAGAAGACTGCATGTTAGCCTGGCCTCCTCTATTGTTTCTTCAGAAAAAGTTTACTCCAAAAAGCATGGACTCAAAAGGGTTGGGCCAATAATGGACGGTGGACCAAACCCATCTTGGTCGTGTCCACCCCAGCGAAGCACCAGGTGATGTCGTACAGACAAATTGGTGCTACGACGGTTGGCTCGTGACACCTGAAATTCTTGCTGTAGTTCTTTATCTCTTCCAACAAATTTCTACTAAACACAGCTCATTGAGACATGTAGAGGACGATTTCACACGTAATTTGTTTAAAAAATATTTTGTTTTGAGATAGTATACGTGGATTTTCAAGATTGTGATTGAAGCAACAAATGTGCTGTCTTATTTTAAGATAAATAGTAACACGACCATACTCAAAAAATAAAGGGTTATTATCACTTTACCTCCTTAACGTTCGGTGCCACTATCAATTTCCCCCTTAACGTTCTCTTTTAGTCATTTTACCCTCAAAACTAACGGTCAAATTTAACGGAGTTTGTTAATTAAAGTAAAAGTACAAGTTTAGCCCTTAAAGTTATTATCATTTTACCCTTATAAATTATAGTCTCAATATCAATTTACCCCATAGAGTTATTTTTTAGACAATTTATCCGACCATTAAACCAACTTAACAAGTTAAAAACTTTAGAAGAAAGTACCATCCTCTTTGTATAACAAAAATAATAAAAATTTGGAGTCGCTCTTCTCCTTTTTAGTATTAAGAAAAATGTCAAAGTATTAATTTCTTTTTTTTTGACAATCTTATTAATATTAAAAAAATAGAAAGATCGGAAGAGGGAGGGTGAAGAGGAGAGAGAGATAGCGAGAGAGAGAGCTCAATTCTCTTTTTTAGAAAATACAAATAAGAAAGAATTAAATACTTTTATTATTTTAAAATTATTTCATTTTACTGTTTACCACCAGATTTCAATCCTGATCTCAACAATTCATAAATTAATACGATAATGTTAGACTTTTTTTTTCTTTGCAAAATCTAATTTTCTATCTCCTTCTTTCCTATTTCTTTTTCTTTTCATAGTATCAATAAGTGTGAAAAAAGAAATTTGAGAAAACCCTTTTATTTTTATATTTTTGGATCTCTTAAAGTGAAAAAAAAGAAGAATCATCATTCTAAATTTTTTATTTTTAAATATATATATAAGGGTAAATATATTTAAAATTTTTTTACCATAGTAGTTAGATTAACGATGAAGCAAAATGCCAAGAAAATAATGTTAGGAATTAAATCGATTATATTACTATAATTAAAAGGAATAGAGTAATAATAACAGTGTGGTAATGCTATAGAATAAAAGGGTATTTTTGTCCAAAATTTCTTAACATGTTGAGTTGAATTACTTATAGGGGTGAAGTGACTAAAAAATAACGTTAGGGGATAAAAAATGATAGTAGTGATATAGTTTAAGGGGATAAAGTGATAATAACCCAAAAATAAAAATAAAAAGCATATAATTTTGGAAGTAGTAGTTATGTTCTTTAATGATGTGGTTAACCTTCAATTCAAGAGCAGAGACGATAGGCCATTCAACGCCTTGAAATCATTGAATTAAGAAGCAAAAAGAACACAAATAATTAATAAACAAACACGTGTAGAGGAAAACGTGCCCCGTTTGTTCTCCACAAATTCCCCGAGTACGCCTTGCAAGTAGATGTGGTAACTAAGGCAAAATTATTTGGACAGCAAGTATATACTACTATATTATGCCTTGCAATTATACACCATGTCTTGCACAAATCAAAGGAGGTCATAGCAAATCGTTAGCTTCTAGCTAATAGAATTATACTCGTATTCTTATACGACTAAGACTTTATAATAGTGAACGAGCATGACAAAAAAGAAATATTGTGAAATGAATCAATAAGCAGTGACCATAGGGGAAGCGGTAAAAGTACATATGGAAGAAAAGAAGAAAACAACAACAATGTACAATATTCTCAAGCCGCCAATTGACAAACTTGATGCGACTGCACGGTGAAATGCAATTCTCGAATGGAAATTGAGACAAGCAAATCCTCCACCCCTCCAAGAAAAAAAAGGTGCTCATTTTCTTGTGGCCATGGCCATGGATGATTAAGTAGTAATTGTGATTGATCATACAGAATGTCGCACTCAGATGGTGATGGTGCTTATAAAGGGGGTCGCGAGGCGCGGGTAGTTATGATATATGTCTGTCATATATACTAGCAGCACTAGTCATTATAAGTTATAGGCTTCTCTTGTGCTGCTGCTGCTGCTGCTGCCGCCTGGTTGTAGTACTGGGATCCTCTTTCGGATTGATCCTCTGTTATTAGTCAATAGATAGACATCAGGCCATGGGTTTTAGGAGCGACCTATTGATATGCACGACCTTGGAATGTGAAACCAAGGAAGAAATGCTGGCTGCCATTCACAGAGCAAAGGAAGAAGGAGCAAACCTTGTGGAACTCTGCATCGACTCCATGTCCTTCTCTCACATTTCGGAGGTGGAAGGCCTTTTGAGACAGAGAACTTTACCTTCCATTGTGTCTTTCAGGTACCCTCCCTCTTTCTTTCCCCTGATATCTATCTATACCTACCTCTTCCTCCACAACTTTCTACTCACCACCCAACATTGCCCTCTCATTCCCAAGGATGCAAGGTTGGTATAAAACAGGGTTGTTACTTTCCCTGCTTATATCTTAGCATCTTGATGCATGATTAACATAAATAATAGTTTTTTTTTTTAAATTCTTCACCTCATGTGTACCTATTACCTAATAGGTATTCGTTAACTCCTATTTTCGTAATGCTCTTCATCATTTTCTCTTTCAGTTAGCGAGAAATTTCTTCTATAGTAGCATAATGAGTTCGACTTTCATAATTTGCTATTGCAACAATACATTCCCCTCTTCTTCTTCAGATATTGACTTCGCGCATCCCCAGGATGGAGGGGAAGGGGGGGGGGGAAGAAAAGGGAAATTAGAAGTAGCTGGTTTGGTAATGTCTATGTAATAAAACATGAACAGGTGAACCATGAAGATAGTATACAGGAGTTCCTGTTTCTGTGGGCACGAGGAGGAGACAAAACAGCTGTTTCTCTCTTTAAGACTAACACTTTTCTTAGCATGCATTACTTTTACATGTGTATATTTGCTAGGACTTAAGAAGTGTGCAGCTGCACCACAGATGATGACGTTGTACATTGAATGGTTGGTAGAATAAGTCATATAAGACGACAGTGGAGGGGGTGGTAGGTAGGTGGAGTATAATGATGAAATAATGTCGACCATGCCAAGGCCGTGGGAGGTGGGGTACGCATGACAGAGTAAATAAATTCTCAAATAATATGCATTCAAATACTACTATTTAAAAACAGCTTTCAAATAATGATGAGGAGGGTTCTAGAATAATGCATTCAATCATCTTTTTTTAAACAATGCATGCTTTTAGTGATGTGTTGCTTTTTTTTTTTTTTTTTTTTTTAAGAATAAAATGTCTAGACAAATAAAAAAGAATGCATTCTGTGAAAGAATGATGCTCGGAATTTACATGTGAACAATATGATGAGTCTTGGCTCCGTTTTGATTGATTAACTGATGTACGGAACATAAAAGTGATGGAGGCTTTGAAAAATCAACCCTATCGTTTGGCTCTCTGATTATTATTATGTTCAAGCGATTTAGCAAGTAGTTCAATCACCAATTGCAGTATTGTATTGACATGTTTTAAATGATGATGATGGGTAGCTGGCGGAAATGGGTCTATTCTTTCTTAGTGACAATTAATAATGATCCATCAGGCTAATATTATGACTTTGTTGGGACTATACTATATCAAATTTAGTATTTAATAATAATTTAATAAACTAAACTACTTCGAATTTTAATTTTATCAAAAACACTCTAATTCTAATACATTTTTGCGTAAATTATTAAATAAATAAATTATCTCTTATCATTTAGAATAAATTTTACCTACAAAATTTATTGCTATTCAATTAATTCACATATTTGGTTATTAAATGTGTTCAAGATCTAAACCATCAAATTTAGGCGGTGAATTGAGTTATTAAACGGAATTTTAATCTCATGTTGGAAGAAGACTTGTAACATTTTGGAATCGCGTTAGATTTGGAAGTAGGGAATGGGATGGTAAAGAGATTTGTTGGGTCCAATTCACATTTTCATCTCGGTTTGCTGGGCGATCGTATCAATCATTAGTTTGTCGTTGCAGCCCAAAACCTACCAATAACAATTTTTTTTTAAAAAAAGAATGAATGAATGAAAGGGGAAAAAAAAAGAACAGAGAGATCTGAGGTTGCAAATCACGAGACAGTGAAAAATATAAGCTGTATAATCTTGTAGGGTGTTCGAACGGAGATCATCTTTAAGAAAGAAAAGGTAGTGATGACGATGGCGGTCTATATGCAGGTCGAATTTTCGCAGGGGAAGAGGGTGTTCATCAAAGAAGACAGGCTTGCAAGTTCTGAGGCTTGCCGTGGAATTGGACGTCGAATTCGTCCGAGTGGAATTCGAGGTTAGTGACTCGCTTACAGTTAGTATTTATATGGGAGTAATATGCTATGCTTCCCAATTCTTTATTTGTTCTTTGGCATTTTTTTTATTCCAGAAGTAGAATTTAGTATCCGCTTGACCTTACCGCAAATGAGACATGCATATGGAATTCTTTTCAGATGGCTAAGGAAGAGGTTATTACTGAGCTAATGAGCAGACGATCAAATAGCAAGATAATTATCTCAAACTACATCAACAATGGTGGCGGCGGCGGTACTCTTTGCAAAGAGAAGCTTGGGAACATCGCCATACTTCTGCAATCTACGGGGGCAGATGTCATCCAACTTGTGGTTGATGTGGCTTATATTACTGACGTCGCTCCACTTTTCCATTTGCTTGCCCATTCTCAGGTATTTTGCGTCCTTTTTCATCTCGAAATCATTTCGATATTTTTCACCCCGATAATCAGTATTATTCAGGCTACTTGCTCCGACGATCCTCCTTCTTATATCATAATGTACAAGCCACAGACAACCACTTTTGCCTCATTTTTGAAGGGTTTTATTCCCGAAACTAATGCATGAGCACTAATGAGTTTTGTGTTAAATCAATTTAAGTATTTGATCAAATTCTCAATTTATGGAAGTTGCAATCTGTGTTGAAAAGTTGCTATCTTTGCCTCGTTTTGTGGAAATCATTTATTGATTTTACGATAACTTTCCATCTTTATTTGGTTTTTGGTATTACTTTCAAGGCAAAAAGTACTCTTTTTTACCAGCCAGAATCAGTTTTGTTTACTAGGCATCGTTCTGCTTCTGTTCCAATTTTTCTGTGTCAACATTTCTTCCTTGGGATTCCAGTAATGTAGGTAGAATAGCTTGATTCTTCACCAGTAAAAGTTGTTTCAAAATTCAGCAATATAGTTTGACTTTTTCTTTTAAGACTTTGACCTATTGCACCTAACGTGTAGGTACCGCTAATTGTAAGAGCTGTGGGAGATAGAGGTCTCATAAGCCAGTTATTGGGCCCAAAATATGGTGCCATTGTGGTCTGGGGATCCTTAGGAGACAAACCTGTACTTGGGTTGCCTCCTTTGCGCAGCATCGCACAAGTCTATAACCTTGAATTTATTAATCCAGACACAAAAGTTTTTGGTGTCATTTCAAACCCAGTAGGCCATAGTAAAGGTCCCCTTCTGCACAACCCTGCTTTCAGACACACAGGATATAACGGAATTTATGTGCCTTTGCTTGTTGATAATATCAAGGAATTTTTTAGGGTATATTCAAGCAGCGATTTTGCTGGTTTCAGGTATGACTACGCTCAGCCAGGAAAAGCAGACTAAAACTCTTTTTCTGTTTTCATGATAGAATTCTACAGTATCTATGCACCTTAATTGACATGATTCACCTCATAAGCGAGCCAGAATTCATTTTTCTATTTTTTGGTTAAAACAATGATAACTATCCACTAGGTCCCATAGTTTGCATTTTGATCTATGTGGACAATCAGTTTCATGTTCTTTCATGGCTTTTTGCAGTGTTGGAATTCCCCACAAGGAAGCAGCAGTAGGGTGCTGCGATGAAGTTGATCCCTTTGCTAAGGTGTGAAAGCTTTGCAATCTGTTTAATTTTTTGTGGTTGTACCAATGTGAATGTATCCATTCAGGAAGTATTTGTCCTTCACATCATCTTAAAATAGTGTTTCCAAAGTTGATGCCCTTCAGTTGAAGTGGGTATATAGTTAAAGCTGGAGATAGATTTCAATTTCTTTATATGGGACAAGCTTGAGAAGGTTTCATGTTCTGATTTCTGATTAGTGTTCTTACTTTTAGAAGCTTAATAACATAATGGCGGACATTTGCTTTTATGTGTCATCATTGCTGCCTTGTCAGTGGATCTATGCTGTATAAGTGAGATTACTCTAGTGTCTCTAATGGGAAGTTTGAATGTATTTTCTAATTATGTGTAGAGTCTCTTGCATGGAATTTATAGAGTGGTGGTCGTTGGCAGGGAATGCTATATTGTGTGAAAAAAATTGATTATGAGAATAACTTATAACCATTTCAAGATGGATTGAGTCATTTAAACAACAGTGTATAATCGAAGAATAGCTTGCGGCCTTTCAGTGCGTCTATTAACCCTGTTAATTTCACATTTCCTATAATTTAACATGTTTCATCATACTTATTATATACTAGGATTCGGGAATCACGTTGATCAGAAATTCTTAAAATTCCAGAATGAAATTCTGATTGGATATGCCTACAAAATTAGCCTCTACATACATATTCTATGGTTCATTGTTTAAAATTTTTCCGACTTATGTTGCATTTGCTATACTCCTTTCTAACTCTAATTATTCATTCACAATTAGTCTATTGGAGCTGTAAACACCATTATTCGAAGGCCTACTGATGGGAAGTTGATTGGTTACAACACAGACTGCCATGCTTGTATAACTGCAATTGAAGAAGCACTTAGAGGTACTCTTGCTTTCTTCATTGTGGTATCTATGTTAAGCTAAAACCATCAAGATTTCTTCCATTTCATAAATTTGATACAATCAGATAATATTGTATTTCATATTCGAGGTTAGTTTCTGTGTGTCAGCATGTACATTACTTACATCCAGAGATAACATGAGTTTTTTTTTTTTGCAATTTGTGGAATGACAGAAAGACAAATTATCAATGGGCAGGCATCACATACTTCTCCTATTGCTGGGAAATTGTTTGTCTTGATTGGTGCTGGTGGAGCTGGAAGAGCTATGGCTTTTGGTGCCAAGAGCAAAGGGGCAAGAGTTGTCATTTTCAATCGCAACTTCGGTAAAAATCATCGCCTTTGCTTCTAGGTTGTCCCCTGTGTCTGCTATCCACTTGTGTTTGACTGACTAAAGTAGTCTTTAAATAGAGAGGGCAAAAGCTCTTGCTTCAGCGGTATCTGGTGAAGCTCTGCCCTATGAATGTTTAGACACATATTGCGCAGAGAAGGGGATGATTCTGGCAAATGCTTCTGCTGTGGGGATGCAGCCAAACGCAGATCAAACCCCTGTTCCTAAGGTTCTCATTCTTACTAAATTTACTTCATACCGTTTGGTGTTGGTATAGGCATACCGTTTAGGGCTACTCTAATGATTTATTTCTCCATACATCTCTGATTTTTAGGAGGCCTTGAAATCATATGAGCTGGTTTTTGATGCTGTTTACACGCCAAGAAACACTCGACTGTTGCAAGAGGCTGCAGAGATTGGAGCAATTGTAGTAAGCGGTGTTGAGATGTTCATCAGACAGGCTCTTGGTCAATTCAAATTATTCACTGGTGGATTAGGTACTTATTCTCTCCTAACGAAAATAGTTTCTTCAGAGGACCGCTTAACTTGTGCTTATATAAAGGAGTCAGCGACCCTTTAATTAGCATCAACTAAAAGCTCATGGATTGTTACATTTTAAAGTAATGGAGTTTTCACATGATTTTGTTATCCCTGTGCTTTTAAAGTTGATAAATTGATGAAGAGAATATACAAGATCAATGAGTTCCATGGAAATTTTCTAGGTTATAGAACAATGCCTATCTAAGTCTTATATAAGCTTTCACTTAAACCTTCGTGATTTTAACTTTCGATGTTTCGCAGCCCCAGAGGACTTCATGCGCAAGACTGTATTGGAAAAGTTTTGATTTGACTTGAGCACAAAAAAGAGCCAATTTCCTTGAGATTATGGCAAGTCAAGCGTCGGGCCTCATCTGATGAAGCTGGTCAGAATCGTACTGTATCATAGCATTGCTTATGAGCTTTATGCACAGCAGCTTGTTACGGAGGAATGAGCGAACCAAATATTGGAGTTTCTCTGTCTTTCCCCCCTTGAGAGTAATTTGTCTGTTGTCTAGATCTATGAGCAATAATCACCGTATATAGAATATTCTCTTTTAAGGTGGCTAATATCTTGTAATATGAGAACACAAGATGTTGAAATATTAGAAGGTCCTGAAGTACTGACTGCATTAAAACGCGGGTTTTCTGGTCTTGATATGGTACTTGCTACCTGACAAAGTGGTTTTGTGGTCTCAACTCAAAGTAGTGTCGATAGAGTTTTGGGGGTTTTTTGGTCTTAAAACTAGTACTGTATTACCTTTTACTTTTGCTCTTTACTTTTTCTATAGAATCTCTGTGGTAATCCTAGGACTGCGCATTTCTTGATTTCCTCGTCTTCATTCATTGTATACTATTTAACAAGTCAGTAGTGGCCAATTTGGAATACAGCAGTTTAGTCGAAGGGTCATCAGTCATGGAGCCATTTTGCAACTCTTGTAACTCCAGAAATTATACTCACGAGTCGAAAGGCAAAGATTGTACTCAGATTTATTTTTTTTTACGGGTTCCTGCAAAATGTGTTCCGATGAGTCGCGTATCCCAATTCTAATGGTCCAACCAAACAGGCTTCGATGCACTAAGACGGGCTTTAAAGGAAAGGAAAAGAAAGCCAACCATTGTGACGAACAAAGATGTTGGTAGTGTTATAGAGCCTTCAATTGGCAGAATATGGCAGTATGCCAAAACTCTTCGCGACCCTTGATCAGGTACCGGCAAAGTTTAAGCTTTTGATCGACGTAAAACCCCCATCCACCACCAGATTATGGCCGCTAATGTATTTTGCATCGTCGGATGCAAGGTAAAGTGCAGCATTGGCGACATCGCTGGGTTCGCAATTAGCTCCCTTGAGCACTCCCGCATTGTGGACCATGTCCGCGAGCGCCCCAGCATCCAAACCGGGAAAGTAGTCCTGCATTTCTTCCAGTGCAAAGGCCGTCGGAATGGCAAATGGCGATATACAGTTGACTCTGATTCCATGCTTGCATAGCTCTGCTGCAACCGACTTGACCATCCCTATCACACTGGATTTAGTTATGGAGTAGGTATGCTGTGCCAACCCACCCATCATGCCGGTAACGCTGGCCGTGCACAAGATGCACCCAGCTTGTCGAGGAATCATGACCCGTGATGCGTGCTTGATCCCTGCAACAGCGCCCCGGACATTGATGGAAACGACTTTGTCGAAGGCTGCAAGGTCAAGGTCCACTACGCTTGGTGGAGTACGACATGCGATGCCGGCATTGTTGTACATGATATCGAGTTGACCGTGAGTGGACACAGTGTAATCCACTGCGTTTGAGACGTCTGATTCTTGGGAGACGTCGCATGCCACGAAACTGGCGTTTGCTCCCAGTTGTCTCGCGGTTTCTTGCCCGACATCTCTGCGTATGTCGGCGATCACCACTTTGGCACCATTGGTGATGAATTTTGTGGCGGTCTCTTTGCCAATGCCACGTGCCGCTCCCGTGATCAATGCTACCTTGCCTTCTAATTTGCTATGACACCAAAATCTCTCAACTTCAGTACAGTACAGTGTGAGTCAAAATTTCTTGCCTAACTCGAAATAGTGTGACCAATTACATTGGTCGCGATTTTAAGATGGTAAAAAATACCAGCACAAAAAGAAAAGATACTCTTAGAACAAGAAAGAATATTAATTTGAAGAATCTTGATATGATTATCACGCGACAAATGCATACAAAATACAAAAGTAAAAATAAAATAATCCAACTATTTCTGTGAATTGAATTTCATTGGACAACTAAATAGCCAATTGAATTAAGCATGTCTAACCTTTTTGGTAAATTAAGCTTAGACACTGACAGTCCACATCACAAGTCACAACAAATTCTTTTATCTGTCTCCTTCCTTTCTATATGTTCCGGGCGGCCAAAGGGAAGGTCGGTTATCCGATTATGTCTCGACTCTCAGATATTAAAATTAAAGTCGAAAAGTCCGAATGAATACAAAAAGGGAAAAATAACTGATCACGCCAGGCGCTCATATCCATTTGTTGGTATGTGCATGTAATTATGTATGCACGAAAGCCAGAGAGGGACAATTGAGAGAGAGAGAGAGATCTTCTGTACACACCTTTCTTTTCTTTGGGCGCAGAACTCCCTCATGACGAAGCTTCGAGCGAGCAAGGCTCTTGAAATGGAGCTGCTGCTACCATATCAAAATCGAAAGATTAAAGATGCACTATAAACGGTAAACTAGTACTGTAATATTTAGCAGTAAAAATGAGAACTCATCAGCATAAATTATATACGGAGTTTCTGCTTTATACTGGATTATGAATCAGTCAACTGTACAAGTTTGCTTTGCTCCGCTCCCCACAATCTCGCCATCGAAATTGGCGGACCTTAATGAATGCTCTCTCTGGCTTGTGAAATATTCAGATGCAAGACAAAAGTAATACTAGTAATTTGGCTCTTAGCAACATTACAACAAGTCATGTTCATGTTCAGAGACCGACAGATCTCGCTCTCTCAGTGATTCAGAGAGTACCATGTCTGTCCTCCCTCATCACAATACGCAAATGAGTCAAAAGACAGAAGCAGCATTGAGATTAAGAGAGCAGCAAATGAGTCAAACATTACTTACCTTGATCTGATGCTGAACATGTTGTTCTCTTCCAAGCTAGAGGCAGTAGTGATTTTTTCAAGTTCTTCCCTTGTGCTTTCTTGGTGTGGGCGGGGGGGTTGAACACTGTAAGATTCATGAATTGCTGACAACTGTTGCTCCGAAAATATATATATATATATATATTGCTGACAACTGACTAAGAGAGCTTTTTCTAAAACGAGAATTGAGAAGTCAGCAACTTGTGAATTGTGTCCATCTGTATGCCGGCCCATCAGCACATGACATGGCAATAGAGATACATAAACACAGTATTATAGATGCCGATGGGGCGTCATGGCTCGTAATTTCCTTCGCTGACGCCAGAGTGCACGTTTGCATTGGTGAGGGTGATGCGGGCGCTTCAATCAGGATATAGTGAGCACTGTAGTGTGATTGTGAAGGACTTCAATAATATAGCAAAGGCTTTACAAGGCAGCCTAAAATCGATATCTCTGCCTTTTGCCAAACCTCTAATGAAAAACTAGTCTTTATAGGATCCGATCTACGTATGAATGGGCAACTGCTGTCCAACAAGACAAGTGCTGCTGCTGCCTCTTTTTCTTTTCTCTTTTTTGTTTTTCTTGAAAAGAAAAGGGTGGGGGTGTAAGGGAGGAGGACGATTAGGATCAGGAAATGAGATGATTCAGTGGTTCAGACTACGACCTTGATACAATCGACCCTTTACTAACATATATATATATATATTATATATGATTCTCAAATCTCAACTGCTGCCGACCCTTCAAATTCTCGAAGATGCATACCCGTAGAAATGAACTTCTTCCACTCACTCTACCATTTAGGGGTGGATCACTTATAGAAGTCGCGATTGATTTTTACAGTATTCACTATTCAGCAGCTTAGCTTAAAATGAAAGACTGGGCATGCAGCTTCGCCAGGGTAAAAGTCTCCCTCCTCCAAATGATTGTCAACTTGAAATGCAACCTCTGTACTTGAGGGCTATTGCCTTTCTTTTGGGGCCCCGGGGGGGGGGGGGGGTTGGGTGAGAGAAATTTGAATCAAGAACCTCTAATTCTTGACGGCCTCGTTAATTTGACATTTAATAGGCAGACCTAGCAGCATGACTGTTATTCCTGGACTGAATCTGGAATATCAAACCTAAGCACGATTGGTAAAGCTTTTGACTCGAAAGTAAATAAATCCCAGTTGGTAACGAAATTAACTCGGAAGGGAGATAAAGATGACTATTTTATTCATAAAAAATAAAATAATTATTTTTTAAACTCGAGTAGCCTTGAATTTTAGGTCGAATTCAGGTTCGAGTTTTATGACGAAAGCTCGTTGAGTTCGAGATTAGTAAAATTGAATTGAGATTCGATTTAGTGTGTTTGCAAATCTAATTCCTATAGTACTTGTCTTCTTGTTTTTACATACTTTTTTGTTAGCTTTTACCGTGACAAAAGCATAATGGGCGTTTTTGTTTTATGTGCCGTTGTTGTATTGAAAAAATTACACTATTATTCGAAGACTCCTTAACTTAGACGAGAAAAAGGTCATAATTTTTTGAAAACCATGAGCCATTGTTTTTTTTTTGGAACTATTGATAATGTCAATTTGAGACTTGAGAGTTAAAGTTACGTTGGATGGCAAAATTTTTGGATAGATTTGATTTTGTAAATCTAGTGGTTCAAAATTTACCGCACTATTTTATTAACTCAAATATTAAAAATGTGATAAAATTTGGACCGCTAAATTTACATAAATCAAGTTCATCCAAGTGATTGCCACGTTGGTATATTGTTATGTTACAAGTTGCTAAGGTGTGGGGAAAACCAAAAGTTTGAATTACCGGTCACTTAGGGTCAGTTTAAGAGAAACGACATATTAAATTTTTTATTAGATTTTAAGTAATATTAATGTCCACGTCACGACCAATCGGGCGTTTGGTCTAGTGGTATGATTCTCGCTTTGGGTGCGAGAGGTCCCGAGTTCGATTCTCGGAACGCCCCACAAAGGGAATTTTGGGCTGTCCAAGTTTGACAATAAACACGCAGGGAAAGTAGGGCAGTTTGTCCATGCGGGCGGGTGATGAAACTGACTGAATATATTTTTTTTTTGGACGTATATATAGACAGAAGCAAGGGCGAAAAATTTTTAAAAATAAAAAACGTTACAAGTAGAACAGTCAACAATAATCTGCCTCTCTACTTCAAGATAAAACTGAAAAGTGAGAGAGAAAAACATACAGCAGAGGAAGGAGGGGGAGGGGGGGGAGGGAATGTTTTGCCCTCATAATAGTGGAATAACACGAGGAGTACTTAGAAGTTAGAAAGGCCATTTTCCCTCCAAAATTCGGGCAAATTGAATGAATAGAAAATTCCCCCCATGGGCCAACTCTCCCTATTCCACCAAAACACGTCATGATGCCTCTGCATTCGAAACCCTGAGAAATGGAGTAGAGTAGTAGTAGTAGTAACTAAGTCAGAAATGGGGTCTCTCCGTTATCTCAAACTTCAACTTAGCCGGTAGTCGCCCTCATCTGCTCCGCCTTTATTCATTTGATCCCTGGCTACCAGGTTCGCTTTTTCTCCGTGGCTTAGTCCATTCATCATTTAGTTTCTCAATTATAAAAATTACTTCTTCTTTTCTTGTAAAACTGGCGCTATCTTCATATCAGTTGAGATACTGCTTGCTTTGCATCTTCCTTTTATTTGTTTATTTATTTTTTTCTAAATATTTTACGTCAGCTTTCTGTACGGATTCTTGGAGCAAATAGGTTTTTAATGGTAACAGTGGTTATTTTTAGTATCACCCGTAGCAGTGGGAAACATTTTACCCGATTGATGATTAGGTCTGGTTCCCACCTTGAACCCTCATCAGTTTTTCTTTGTTTCCAGTGTTATCTTTCTCGTTTGTCCGCTTCGGGAAGCTTTTGGTGTGCTTATTCTGATAGATTGTTTGATCCCAACATGATGGTTTATTAGCTTTGATAATTTCTGTTTGTTTTGAGGGATCAGGAAACAACTTAAGCCCCAAAAATGGAGGGTGAGTATGAGAATACTGTTCCTCTTGATGACACTATTGCGCTGGGAAGTCCTGAAGCTGAAGCCCATCTACGGACTCTTGATATTAACACCGAGGTGTTGAGTACCCCTGATTCCATTGACTGTGGCATAGCTCAAAGCCTGGATGACATAGTGGATGATTCTATGGACGCTATTCCGCTTGATATTGACAAAGATGGATCCGAAGTCGTGGGCAAAATATTTCCACTGAAGGAAAACAAGACAAGTGTTAGAGGGCATGGTTCATGTATGGAGAAAAGGAAGATGAATGCTCTTGGTAACCTACTGTTCTTTATTTGTCCTCTTCTCTTCTCTAATGTGAATATAGCAACTTGCCCATTATCGCATTTTAGAACTCTCTGATAGATTAGCAATAATCAAATTTGACATGAATTTTTAACTTTGCTAATGTTGTCTTTGTGGGAGTTTCTAAGGCTTTTCTTCTCTTCTCCTCTGTTATTGATTAAACTCCGCTCTCCATCAAATAAAGTATCCATTTTGCACCATGAGCCCAATGACGGAGCCAAGGGGGGCAGAGGGGGCCATGGCCCCCCTAAGTTTTGAGAATTTTAATTCATAATATGTAAATATGTGTGTAAAATAAAATTGGCCCCCCCTAAATTTTTTCAATTTTAGTTTATATTATGAGAGTTGATATATATATATATATATATATATGAATTAGTCATCTTTGAATGGAATTTCAATTTTGGCCCCCCCAAAAAAAAAATCCTGGCTCCGTCACTGCATGAGCCATAAAAGAATGATTTGTTTCCTCAAAGTTCAAGCTTTGGAATTATCGGCTGATGTTCATGGTAGGATGGTTGTTACTCTGGACGTTTTAGGTCCTGAATTCTAGTTGTATAAAGTAGTCTTTGTATTCCAGGACGTACGGTGATGCTGGATAAAGATGTCACTGGACATTCCATTCAGCAGTTAGCTTCTACTAGAAGAACTGATGAACGTGGTGATACTCAGAAGCATGAACTTGCCTCTTCCCATGCTGACACTAGTAATCACAAACAACAATTTATTCAAGACAGTGGAACATCTGAATATGAAGAGGCTTTACCAGATCATTCATATAACATTGTCCAAAAGGATTACAAGAGCTTGGAGAGCATTGGGCTGTCAGTTGTGAATGCCCTGGACTTTGTTGATCACTTTCTGGCCGTTAATAATCAGTACTTATGTGGGAAGTTTGAAAATGCAAGAGCTGATGGTACAAATTCACCTCCTCCTTTCACTACAAAGGGAGCACAAACATTGGCAAGCAGAACAAATCTTGCCACCAGAGCTCGAGAATTAGGAATGTTTGATTGGGAAGAAAAGCAAGCTACCGAAAGAAATTCTGATAAGAAGCAGGATGAAAAGTTTGCTATGGGATCTCCAGGAAAGCCATCAGAACAGGATCAAAGCGCAACAAATGGACAAGATATCTTTGAATTTGGTTTCGACACTCAAATGGCTGCTGAGGCTATGGAAGCCTTAATATGTGCACCCCCTCCCAACTCTAGGGAACAATGTACTTATCAAGTTCCCAAGAATGAAATCCATAACTCCTCAGTAAATGCATCAAAGGATGAAGGATTAAAACACTCTGCCAATAAAAAGGTGGCTGATTCAGGTCCACAAATCAACAGGAAACGAACAGTAAAATTAAGGAGTCCCACTAGCAGGTTGAATGGCAATAAGCCTCTCCAGTTCAAAAAACACTCTGAAAATCTCACGGGGTACAACTCTCCCTCTTCAATAAACAAAAATCTCATCTACAGGGAGCCATTGTCTGCAAAATCTTCGAATTGTGGACATGCTCTTACTATGAAGAAAAGTATATGTGGAAGAAGTTCTAGGGTAATCAGTCAACAAAAGAATGGTGCACCTTGTGAAAGTGAGAACTCAAAGGGAGCAGGGAATGATCTTGTTTCATTGAATTTCATTGGACTTAACCAACATGGAGAAGAAATGTTATTCAAGAAGTTCCGAAGATCTTCACAAAAAACAAAGAGGACGGAATTTCAGCCATCTATGGCTCCAGTAAGTAGTTTTAAAAGAAGGATAAGCGCTAATTTGGAGTTTGATGTTCCTAAGAAAAGGAGAAAGAAGAGATTAGGCATTGGTGTTTGCAAAACCATTGAAAGCAAATCTTTGATGTCAGGATCTGATGGCTTAGCGGAAGTTACAAGAACCAAAGGTCCTCAACAACCTAGAAGTACTTCTGGTTCATTTGGAACTATTGATCTGTTAAAACTGGATCCATGGTGCTATCCAAAGCAGAAGAGAACACATAAGGGTGTGAGACACCAATCAAATGGATTTAGTAACTCATCTACTTTGTTGACTTTAGCTGATGACGAGAACAAAAACAAGTATCCTACTGAAAATAGATTATCTTCTTGGAGGAATTGTGGGCCTTTGCTCCATAGTCAAACAGAATTTGGGTCCTCCCCAGAAAAGAATCTGCCTGGTGTGTGTGAATCGGCAATCACAAGTGAAGAAATGATTATTATGGACCTCGATAGAGTTAAATCCTCTGAGCTATATGGAAAATCAGATATGATGGGTACCATATGGTCCGTGGATTGTTCAGAGAACATCAGGTTAGGTGCAGTATCAGCTGATATAAGGGCATCGCAAACTACCAAGACTGATGTCAGAATTCCAGGCAAGAAATTGATCTCAAGACCATCCCTTATGAAAGAGCTTACTCGATTAGGATATAACAAATCTCTACCCA